ACACAATTTGTGTCTGCTAATGAGATGTCTTCTTAGAGAAACTTAAATTAATCAAAAATTCCCACATAAGTCACATAAAAAATAACCAAAGAAAAATGTATGTAATAATTTGATAATAATTTTGACTTTGTCACAATGTTTTGACAAACGCATAAGACAAGAGTGGGCTTTCACACAATCTTTACCTTATCACTTAAAATGTATTTATAGTTCTAATGTTTTCTGCCCAGCTTTCATTGTAACTCTTTGTTAATTGTGCTCTTTACTCACACTTTACTTTCATTTGTCATTTAGCGAGTGTTCATTTTAGGCTCAATATGTACAGTATTACTGCAGTTATATTTCAAGTATTTTACTGTATTGCAGGGAGTAGAAAACAAATGATTGATGGAGCCTCAGTCTACGTGATTGTAAAAGATTACCAGCCATTTATGATGGTGGCTTAGAAGATGCAATGTCTGGTAAGTGATATGGCGGCCAATATGCTAATATTATATATTATTATATAATATGTGCAGCAGCCTGAAGCTCCGACACACAAACTGCATATCGTGTGCACCAAACTTGGTTGTTAAAAAGGCCAAAGAACAAACACCAGTACTAGAGGATATTAGAGTAATGGCATGAACGTTTGTGGCTCATTTCAAGTCTAGCACAACAGCAAGAGAAAGACTATTGGTGTTTCGATATCAGATGGGCAAGCCAAATCACAAATTGATTCAGGAGGTGGATATTTACTGGAAAAACAAGTGGGAGCCAGTAGGTGCTGCTTTGGTTACTCTGAAGACAAACCTCAAAACTTTGACTTAGGAAAATTACCACACAGTAAATAAATTTTGTGTACTGAGCCACTTCAATGAAACTTCCATCAAATTGTTAATAGAGATAGAGTGTCAGAGTCAACAGTGATTCCTCTTACATGAATGCTGGGGTATGCAATCACCTCAAAGAGCTCACATGTTGATAATGAGAAAGCTTTGCAATTGTGTAACAACCTCCTGAGGCTTCTTTCGGAGAGGATGTCTACATATGAGACATATGACCCTGCTAACACTGCTTGATTCATGTCTGTAGGCTTGTGAAGCCAGTCAAATGCACCGACTGAATGTGCTGTAATCATAAGAGCTAAGGCAGTCCGAAAGAGCCCATCCAAATCCTCTGAAATCCCCTCATCACAACCAGAGTCAGCAGGAGCCACAGGCGGCCATGTAATACACTCGGGTACTGTTTGTGTTAGGGATGTCCTGAGCTGATCTCAAACACTGGTATCGGTGCAGATTAAGGCATTTTTTAACTAATGGTATCGGCTGTATGAAGCCTGTTCCTTTAATTTATCAGCAGTCACGCAGTTGTCATAAGCGGAGAGCGCAATTTCTCAGGAATATGTGGCTACAATGTCTGCGGTGTGAAAATATTTTAAATTGTAATATGAAAGCAGTCCATCAGCAACTTGTAATGTCAAATATGGGGCACAAAAAACTCAACTGAGACATCCCAAGTTTGTGGTATTGTGCATGCGTGTTTTATTACATTAGACATGGATCATGCATGACAACCTGAATTCAATGAAACTTTTGTTTCTTTTAATCTATCCTTAATCTACCCTCAGGTAAATGTCTGTGGTATCTACTGAATAGTCATGTTGTAGAAATCAGAATAATGAAAAATGTGACTGAAATGTGATTCTAGTTGAGGTTCAAAGGTACCTCAGTGACCCAAATATTTCACACACAGAAGATCCTCTGCATTTCTGGGTTATTCAGAAGGCTGTCTATCCACATCTTCATCTTGTCCTGGAATTTTTATGCACTCCTGCCCCCTCAGTCCTGTGTGAAAATATTCTCAGAGGCAGGGGAAGTGATAGATAGATAGATAGATGCTCAACAGTCATGCCTTCACTTTTATAGAGCCGTATAAGAGCTGTGTATGTGATGTTTGAGTTGGGGAGGTGTGCTGTGCAAAAGGGGCGTTTGCAAAGGTTGTTTGAAAACATGCTTTATTTTTGTATTTCCGCTAGGCGATGCTAGTAGCGCAGAAACAACGTACTCCAGCTTTAATTTAAAATAAGCTAATTCATCCAATTTATTAATTATATTCTTACATTGTGTAAGTACTACATCAACCCTGATACATGAAAGACTAATTATTTTTTATCGTTTTGGTTTTCAGAGTTCAAAGGGACGTCATATGGGACGCAAAGGCAGCTTTTCCACCTTTTGACCATAAGCTGTCACTAGTGTGCACTGTATTGAAAAGCTTTGAATAATCAACCAGTTCACCATACAGTTAAGGGGACCAGTTGTCACGTAACGCTGACAGAAGGAACTGTCACTGTCTTTTATTAAATCCAAACAGGGGTAAATCCACACCAGGAAGGGAAGATGACACACGTTCACAACATGTAGACCCGACAAACACAGACTGAACAGACTGGGGCTTAAATACACAGGATAACGAGGGAATTGGGAGGAACACAGGTGAACAGAATGACTAATTAGACAGGGAAGAAACTGGGTCACGGAGCACATGGGGAGCAAAACACAACAAAGACAGTCCAATCCTGACACCAGTGAGCATAAGAGACTTCTTTCAAAAACTTTAATAACCAGTATTGACTGATTTTTATAGGTAGCATATGTTCATTTCAGCTTGCCTTCAGTGGACATTCGTTACTAAATCCTTGACTGGAAAGAAACATGAGGGCTATAAATACATTTGAACTAATTAGTTCCCCAACTAACACCTGAAGGAAATTATGAGAGGAAACAGGAACATGAGGAGCAGGAAACGGTGAACAAGACTGAGGCAATGAACAAGAATGAACTTCAAAATAAAGGTATGACATAATTAAGGACATGAACTAAAAACATCAAACATAAAATCTAAGCACACCTGACAGTCATTGGTTTCAGGGTACAAAAGAGAGAGAAGAAGATGATTTTACACACTGCTGCAGGGCTCTAAAAAATGCACTCTGATCACTTCTAGATTTACAGTTGTTTGATCCCCCAAATTATGCGACACTGATGTAACGCTCCATCTCTGTAGCTCAGCTTGGGCTTCTTCTGCTCTTTGAGAACATGAAACTGCTTGCTGACGTCTCAAGGGTTTTTCATCTGAACTTGGCGTAAAAATACCAGGAGGAAATTTGCCCTGGAACAAATGTAGCGGAATGACAGCATCTCTGATCATCAAACCATTCTCCAAATCTGACAGTCGTGTGAGCTAAGGAATCTATTCAAAGAAAGTCATTATTCATTGCATTAGACAAAAAGGATTTTCTCTTCAGCAATGCATTTTGACTAACACTCCAAGACATCACACACCCCGCTTAGTGATATTCTTTGAGAAGGAACCCATCAGGATTTCAATTACATAACGTGGCTCAGGACTTGCTCAAGTTCATTAGGCTATGCTAAAGTAAATGTTATGCCAGTGTCAGATTTAGATTGTTTTATAAGGGTTTATAAAACAGTCTAAATATAGCCTAGTTACACAAACTCCACCCACCATTGTCCGGTTTGGCCCGACAAAATTACAAAAGAAACCTCTCTAGTAACAGGAACAGTAGTGTTAAGATGAAGTGCATAGCTGATTTTAATAACACACTTGGTGCCCCTGCATGGCTGAATGAGATGATGAACCCCAATGTTTATATATATATATATATATATATATATATATATTCAGATTTACATTTATATATATATTCAGACTTATAACAATTTATATTCAGACGCAACAATATATTCAAAATTTATATTTATATTTTCAAATTTACATCTATATATTCAGATTTTTATATAATTATTTCCTGTGTGGCACCTGATAATTTATGATATATATATATATTAGCGGTGTAACGGTACACGTATTCGTACTGAATATATATAGTGTAACATTTTAATCAACATTCTATCTGATTAAGCCACGAATATTTCTAACATCACTGGGGCCCACAGATGACAAGGTAATGGTGTTACAGGACTAGAAATTAGTGTTTTAACATCATTAATAACATTATTACTCAAAATAGTGTTTTGGGGGGAAATGGCTCAATTTAAATCCAGGGGCTTCCGGTATAAAATAGCTCAATTCCACAAAAAAAAAAAAAAAAAAACTTGGCAACACTAGACATGTAAAAATTCCATCTTACATTGTGTTTTGTTTTTTTTTGAAACACTTGGCAACACTAGACATGTCAAATTCAATTTCAAATGTACTGTATATATTTTCTTTTTCAGTTTTTGAAGGTAAAAAAGTGGAATATTTTGCAATGGCCAAGTCAATATCTTAATCTCAACCCGATTGAGCGTGCATTTCACTTACTGAAGACAAAACTAAAGGCAGAGAGACCCACAAACAAACAACAACTGAAGTCAGCTGCAGCAAAGGCCTGGCAAAGCATCACAAAAGAGGAAACCCAACTTTGGTGATGTCCATGAAGGCAACAAAATATAAAAAATTAACATTTTATTCATGATTATATTTATTTGTCCAATTACATTTGAGTCCCTGAAAATATGGGACTGTGTATAAAAATGGTTGTAATTCCTAAGCATTTTGTGTTATATTTTTGTTCAACCCCTTGAATTAAAGCTTAAAGCCTGCACTTCAATTTCATCTTGATTGTTTCATTTTAATTCTATTCTGGTGTCATACAGAGCCAAAATTATTAAAATTGTGTCAGTGTCCAAATATATATGGACCTAACCGTACATGCAGATTATCTTAACATTTCAAACATTAATAACAAAATAGAACGTTAACGGGCAATGAAGAAAACGAGTCTTTAGAAGGAAATATTGTTAGAGCGGCCGCTTTGATCCTAGACACTTCATCATGACATCACCATCGTTCTCCTCAGCATTGCTTGAATCGCGCGCGGTCACACGCGCTCAAGGAGCATTTGTCATCAGTGAAGAAGAGACAGAACTGTATCAAGTTGACAGGGAGGCATCGCGTCTTCTACCTACTGAAGCCTTTACTTGCGTGTAATCATGGATGCGTCCCTCTTTCAGTTCTTCATAGAGGAATTCGGCGACACCAACTGTACTCTTATGGATGCTTTTCAGGACACTTTATACGAGAATTCGTCTTTCGCGTCGATGAGTGTCGACGGTGGGGATTACCTTCTGTGTAAGCGCATTTGTTTTATTCAGCTCTTATAATGCACATTAATCAACACCGGTTGTATTTTCCTCTAAGGTCTCTACTGTAACGCCACCACGGATGAAATAGGAACTTGCTGGCCAAGAAGCAACTCTGGACGGATAATTGAGCGACCCTGTCCAGAGTACATTAACGGCGTCAAATACAACACCACTAGTAAGTGACTCCTATCTGCTTTCTATTCATTAAAAACGTCCGAGGATAAGGTTGGTGCGACCCTTTGCATTTATGTGCATAACCTATTTATCTCGGGTCAGTCATTCAGTCAAAGTTAAAACATATATGGAAAAATGTGCTCTGCAAAGTGAGTCAGTGAGTAGATAGATAGATAGATAGATGATAGATAGATAGATAGATACAAATAGATATTTTATCATTTCTGTTAGAACATTTCACAGCTTATAAGAGTTAAAGGACATGTATAGCTTTTGGTATTCTTCCTCTCAAAGCAATTTTTACAATGGTTATAAATACAAATGACATTATATTAATAATTTAGCCAATTGTTTGCTCACCAATTGTGCTTCTGCAGACAATGTTATCTGCCCTGCCACATGTTCTTTGCCTTAATGTGTGAAATGAAGCAGGACAGTGAAGTTCTCTTACACACACACACACACACACACGTCATGTTTCCATGTTTTATGGGGACATTCCATAGGCGTAATGGTTTTTATACTGTACAAACTGTATGTGCTATTGCCCTACACCAACCCTACCCCTAAACCTACCCCTTTCAGGAAACTTTGTGCATTTTTACTTTCTCAAAAAAACTCATTCTGTATGATTTATAAGCTTGTTTCCTCATGGGGACCTCAAAAATGTCCCCACAAGGTCAAAATTTACTAGTATTACTATCCTTGTGGGGACATTTGGTCCCCATAACGTGATAAATACCAGGTACACACACACACACACACACACACACTGTGCATTGCATCCATGCTGACACTCAGTCTCAGTGATGCAACGATAACTTATTTTATCTGAATAAATATGCCTTAATATAACATGGCATGTTATTGAGTTGGATGGAAAAGTTGTGCTTTATTGTTGAAACACTATGTGTGAGAGATTTCCCATAATAATTGCATACTTTTTGCATATTTATCATATTGTCTGTTATCTGAAAACACAGGATATGTGGAAAACACTTCTTATAATTTGAAACAGTGAATACATTCATTCATTAAATTGTACAGCGATGGTAGACAATACAGTGGTAAAATCGAACATAAGATGGCCCAATTATTTCTTATGTGTTTAAAGAGTATTATTGTGTGTTAACTTGTACCTTACATATGGTTTTACTTGATGTTGATTATATTTCATAGTTAATGATTTTTTAAAACATGAATTCAGTATTTGACATAAATGGACAGCATGCTATAATGTCCTCATAAATCAGCAATAAATGCCACTGAAAAATGCCAAATTGTAGGAGACAAATATCATCCGTTAATAAAAAAAGAATTCTTTCTGATATTGTTGTGCATATACATGATTATGTAATTGTCATGCATAATTATGTAATCATGACCTCATGATGTTCAGATCATGAAACATTTGTTCAAAAGACATGAAGCAGACATACAGTATTGGACACAGTGTGATCTATGTATAATCTCTTCCAGCTGCCGTTGGTTTTATCATTGCATATTAATATGACTTATGATAAAATCGCTGCATGCATATAAATGTGGATTTTCCAAATGTCTCTTATCTGCTGGCAGTTATGATCACAAATCAGTGCTTAGCGGTTTCCTCCTGTGAGCTTGCACAGCGTGTAACTTTGTTCAGTGTATTGATGTGACTTTCACATTGGAGGATAATACAGGGCTCCTAGGCAAATTTAAGCCTTTCGCTGCTGAGCTCTGAATGTGTATTTTAAATAGTAAAATATATCTCTGTTTGCTCATAGTGACCTGATGATGCCTCCTTTCTGTGGTTTATAATTAGGTTTATTATTTATTTCATTCACAAATGTCAGCACTCAGCACTGTTTGTTTACTATAGTTAATGTCTCAGACATTTGTTTAAAAAGAGAGTTTATGCTCATTTATAGCGATCATGGCATCAGTAATTCATCAAATGACGGAGAAGAGTGTTATAACCAGCAGATAACGTGTTTGCAGCTTTACCTACATTATTGCTGTAGTGTAGTGAGTGCTAAAACAACACAGACAGCACATGCAACTAAACAGTGCTATCACAGTGAGTCCAATGGATCACAAGAAAATTCCCAGCTGAATGCATTACATAATTACGGTCACATTATTGAATTTGGTGAATCTAGAAGTTGTTTATCAATGAAATCATATTTGTTTTCTCAGACTTAACTTAAATCGATGAGACAAACCTAACTCGAAGGATTATTTATAGCTTGCATCGAAGTTATGCGTAATAGCATGGTGTCACTGAACTCTTCTGCTGTGCACAGCTGCTGCCCAAGGCACTTCGCAGAGCACTTGTGTCTAAACCCTCCTGTTGGCAAGATCCATCCAGCTGTCTGGTGCGGTCTCTCCAAGTAATCCATTTTAAGGCACAGATACTCAGTACTGGTATTTCCCTCTGCTTCACAGGGTAACACTTTATAATAAAGTTAACTTAAAAGTCATTTAAAATTGTTTCATTATTGATGAAATAATCAGTTACTAAAGATAATATAAATTTGTAGATAATTCGTGCTGTAAGTAATCTAAAAATGTTGCAAATCATCAAATGATCATAAATCATTAGTAAATGATTAATGATTAGTTAGTTATTGATGTATTCTGAACCACTTATTTTACAAATTTGTTGTAGTATCAATATCTCAATACACTTTGGTTGATAATGAACAAATGATAAACAAATCACTAGTAAATGACCAGTCTATAATAATAATGTTGATGTACTGTATCATACTTGTAAATTAGCCCATTAAAATGTCAAAAATGCAAACAAATAGTAAATAATTTTTTCATTCCTGTAGCTCAACCAGTATTGCATGGCGCTAGGAAGGCCAAGATCATGAATACAGTATTGAATGTATGCTGGAAAATGTCAAATCTCAAATAAAAGCATTTATTTTTTTCATCAAAATGTTCAGTTTAAAAATACTGAAAAAATATTTAAAAAAGGAAAGATTCTGAAAACCTTTTTGCACTGTTTGAAGGGGATCCCATAATAATTTAATATGGCTTTACAGTAACATTTTATGATATGATTGATATTTTGTCTATACAATGGTTTCCTTAAATATGAGTATAAATATGATTATCCCAACTTAAAGTATATTAACGATATCTGAAGCTTTAGAGCAGAATAAAATCAAATGTGCCTTTTACCCCTTTAGCCTTGTCGTACCCTAAATGTGTCTTTGCTTTGTATATATTTATATATATATATATATATTAGGGCTGGTAAGCGATTACAACTATGATGTGGCAAATAATTAATCTAATTAATCGCAAATTAATCACGGCTGAGAAATGACTCCCAACAGATAATTTAAAGTCATTGTTGTGTAAAGCATCAAACAGACATTACAAAAAGTAGCTTCAGCAAGAAATATTTAGTTTGATAAAATTTATTACATATACTCTTTTGGACCATGAGGGCGAGTAAATGATAACATAATTGTCATTTTTGGGTGGGTGAACTATACCTTTAATAATTAATTTTATTAATTTTATTATTATTACTATGAAAATATGAAATAATTTCTTTAATGAAATGAGACTCTAAATAATGAACTAAAACTGCCAGTAGGTGGTGGTAAATGTCTTAATGATTAAGTCATCGAGTCAGTTATTCATTCATGTGATTCCTTCAAATGGCTGATTCATTCAGGAGTGAAGTAAATGGTTCTTTATGAATGGTCCATTGAATCATTAGGCTTGTTTGACTTGAAGCGGATCATCACCATCAGACCGATCGGTGTGTGACATCAAAGTACCGCAAGAGCTATAGAGAGCAGACGGCTCCTTATGCTTTAGAATCGCTCTCGCGGTACTTTGATATCATACACCGATCGATCTGTGCAGCGCCGCTTCAAATCCAAGCGCCTATGGCCAATGGTTCAACGCACCAAATGGTTCACCCAATTCGTTCAAAACGTGCATTAAGAAATGAAATGCCGCTGTGTGTTGCTCGGAGACGAACAGTTCTGCTTTGTCTTTATATTTTCATTGGCAAACAACATTGTGTCTAAAATAACACAATATTAACTTCTTACTTACTGAACTGTTGTATAAGATCAGTATCATTGCACTTATTGCCTGTGTGATATTACTTAACTATATGATGTAAATATGAGACAAAAACTCAAACGGGCATTTTTGGCCCATATCTTGAATTTTAGGGACCTTCTAACTACGTTTTCTAGGCTCCATCACGCAGTGAGTTGTTGCCCTGCATCATATTTGTCATCAATCAACTGTATTGTCAGATGACCCACATAGGTCTGGGGAGGGGCACGTGCATTAAATTTGTTAATAATTTTAACGTGTTATTTTTCACCTTAATTAAATAATCTAATTAACGCGTTAAATTACCAGCCCTAATTTAAATAAATAAATACAAATGATCATAATTGATGGACAACTATGCCCGTGAAAAGACATCGGCAATCCGGCGCCGAGAGAAGAAAAAAAAAGTGAAAACGAAGCCCGTGCATCACTTTCAGGCACATTCATAAGCCTGTGAAACTTTTTGGGCTGTTGACGTTAATAACGTGTTCTGATGTCGGTAATAATTTAACCACCAACAACGAATCTAATATTCTACCTGAGTTTCCATGTTCCATTACGAAAATTAGCCATGGTTTTATATACGAATAAAACCAAAAATCATGGTTCTTGTAGCCATGGTAACCGCAACTAATCAAGGTTTTGTTACTTCAAATAATAATTTACAAAGAAGTATTAAGATGATAATTTTTTGGAGGTTATAAAAACAGACCTAAGCCAACAATAGCCTTTCATATGACTAAAAATGCATTATATAAAAACAATGAGGCAATAATGATTGGTTAATTAATAATTATATGGTTTCATTGAATAACACTGTTAAAATTTATAATGTAATACAAAATAAACAATTTATATACATTACATGTTATTACAAATGCCTGCAAAGGGAGCCAAAGGCCATGTAATTGCTGCTGCTACACT